GGGAGGATTGGAAAAATCTAAAGGCTCGTGTCCTCTTGTTAGGGGAGTTGAGGCCTTGAACATTGAGGCTCAGTAGCTTAATAGGAAGATAATTGGTAGTTATTCTCATGGTACTCACCCAGTCCAGAAGTATGGGGGCCCTTTGTCACGGTCGTATGTACCAGTACACGTTTCGACTCTGGAGTTATTTGGACCCAAGAGAGGAGAAAAGAGGGGGGGAAAAGACGGGGAGACACAAGGGGAGTGGGTGCACTAGACAAAACACACAAGACATCACAACATACACAAAAACAGATAATGGATAAATTCCACTACAATCTCAGAACATTGGGTGGGCGGAGGCAGTGCTCCTTATGCCACCCAAGGTATCCAAGGTACGGGGAGCACAGTGACGTACTCACCCAGGCAAAGTCTTAAGCAAACTATAATAAATTGGAAGTCCACCCGGATTAAGAACATTACATTGGGACATGAAGTCCAATACAGTTTTGTTTAGAGTATCCGGTGTAACGATCGGATGTGGGCAATGACAGGGGGGCGATGGGGAGGCTAGTAAATGGGGTATTAGAGATCTTGTTGTTAGGCTACCCCAGGGCTCACAGAGCACCACTGTAAGGTGCACCCAGAGTACTGGAGTGCGGGTTTGGAAAAGAGGGGTAGGCCTGAGCCACCGATAAGGGCCTTCGAGTTTGCTAAAGATCTTCCCCTTGTCACTGGTCAATCCGAGAACCTGGTTAAAACATGAACATATGCATAACATTGCAGAACATCGTCATAAAGGATATATGATAAAAAGAAGTTAACAGTTCCCGTGGGCATACAACTCGGGTAGTGAGAGCAGGGGTGTGCCTTAGGATGGTCAACAGATGGGGAATACATTTCTTCTCGGTGGGGTAAGGGTAGAACCCTGGCAGGGTATTGGGAGAACCGTAGTAGGTGGCTCTCGTAACCGCGCCTGATGACAGGGTGTCCCATGTGGAGTGCTGATTCAACTTCAGGAAGGTCCAAAAATCCAGGGCGACTTGTACTCCCGTCATCTCCTGGCGTAGAACCTGAGGTGTTCCACAGGGTTGGAGAATTTCCACAATGAACAAACAGAGGAACTGGGCACCAACCGAAGAGGATATCCCAAGGCATAGAGCTCTGCAAACGGTAGCCGGCATCAGGACCACGTACACCGCAACAGGCGGTAAAAAAACAGGGCCAACCCCAGGGGGTTGCATGACAACTCAGCGCGGCGAAGGGTTTTTGGTGGTCATCTTGACCGCAGGGCGACTTGATTCACCGGAGTGGTTCTGATCCGAGTCGCTCCTTGAACGCTTGGAAGAAAGAGCAGGGGAGTTGCAGGAGTCCATGGCCCCAGATTGTGAGTCCGCAAGGCCCAGGTCGGCCATTTTGCATTGTGCTTCTTCTAGGGTGGTACAAGAGTGATGCTTACCCCCATGGGAGAACAGCAAGCGGAAGGGGAATCCCCATTTGTAGGGAATGTAATGCTTGGAGAGGACTTCGAGGCAGGGGCGCAGGGACCTCCTCTTGGTTATGGTGAAAGGGGCCAAATCTGCGAACACTTGGTACTCGTGGCCTTGGAATGAGAGCGGACCCTGCTGTGCTTTGGACCTGGCTGCAGCAGCCGGGGTTTCCTTGGTGCAGTAGACATGTAGCTTGGCCAGGATGTCACGAGGGGGACCATCAGGGCGCCTGCGTGTCAGTGTCCGGTGGATCCTCTCTATCTCCAGTCATTCAAGAGGGATATCAGGGGCTAGCTCTTGGAAGAGTGCCGTCGCCGTGGAGGTTAGGTCCATGATGTGCTCAGGGAGGCCGCAGATGCGTAGATTAGAGCGCCGGGACCTGTTCTCTAAGTCCTCTAGCTTTGAAGCTAGCTGTGAGTTTTCCTCCCGAAGGGTCTCTATATCCATTGAAGGTGGTTAGGTCTGTCTTAAGGTCATCACACCTATCTTTCAATACAGCACTGCGGTGGCATATGTCCCTGATTTCCTTAAGCAGCCTGTCCGTTATCTGCTTTGAATTGGATTGGAGCGCTTTCTGGAGCATGGCGTCAAATCGCTGCAGTAAAGTTGTTTGGGAACGTTTGCGGGAGCGATCTCCTTCATGGCTGCCAAGATCCCCCTCGTCCATGTCACTGCTGGACACCGAGGCTGTGCGGGCCGTTACCTCATGTGAGTGGGCCGCGGGCGCCATCTTGGCCGAGGCTCTGGTCATCGCTTCCGTGATGGGCTGTTGTTTCCCCTTCTGTGGGTGTTTGGGCGCTGCGGACGACATAGTCCGGTGCAGGGACTGTTCCGATTGCCGGCTGAGGTATTAAATCGGGTGAGTGGGGCGAACTTCCGGGCTACAAGCAGGATTGCCTGGGTGAGCTGCGGAGCCGTCTCGGAAGGCTTCCTTCATCGTCAGCTCGGCGAAGGTTTTTACACTACATTTTCGTAGTCTGAAAGTTTTGCCTGATCCTTAATTTATGGCCTCTAAATGCAGCCATCAGGTAAAAAGTTCAGGGTGGACTCCATTTTGTCAATCAGGGCTATTCTTCAACCAATTTCCTTTTTGGCGACCCTGGACTGGAGAGCTGCGTATCTGCACATTCTGATCAGAGCATCTTTGCAGGAATTCCTTCGCAGTGAGGATAGCCAAAAGTTTTTTTTTTGTGGGTTTTTTTTCAGTTCCGGTTCAGGGCGCTCCTTTTTTGGCCTATCCCCATCAACTCGGATATTTTCCAAGGTTCTGAGGAAGGCTTTAGCACCTCCTGAGACTTCAAAGGATCAATATCATACCATACGTGGATGACGTTCTCTTAATGGCGCCCTCAGTTGGAGAAGGATCTGGATTTCACTCGAGGGTGGTTAGTAAACCTGGGCTGGTTAATAGATTTTCAGAAATCGTATCTAACCCCCTCCAGGGTTGTGGCCTTTTGGGTTACATTTTGAACACTCTGGAAAAGATCTTTCTACCAGAGGAGATTTTAAAAATTTGCCAGTGTCAGTCAGCTTCAGGGGAACCAGCCAGTCTCTCTAAGATTCATTATGTCTGTTCCGGGGCTAATGACCTATTGTGTTCCAGCTGTCCCTTGAGGCCAGAGACCCCCTTCAGTCTCTTTTTTTTCTTTTCTACGAATGTGGGTTCGAGCTCATGAAAGTTTGCGCTCCCTGGTCAGCCTACCTTCCCAGATGAAGCCTATGGTGGTGGAGGGTCCACAGTCGGTTATCAGTGGGCTTGCTTTGGACGTTTGGATCTGGCAAGATTAACAGGCGTCCATTGTTCTGACCGCAGATGCCAGCACCTGGCTCTAATCTGGTAGGCCAGTTAGCTCAGGGTCAGTGGACACTTCAGGAGTTAACTGCATCATCCAATTGGAGGGAGCTCAAGGCAGTGTATTCCCTTTTATGCTTTCCAGGACTGAGTCGGAGGTCTACATCTTCGGATACTTTCAGACCAACACTACCACGGTAGCTTACATCAACAAGCAGGACATTACAAGGTGTCCTGTGCTTCAGGCTGTAGCTAGGGACATATTTGTTGTTTTTTTTTTTTTTTAGACTGATATGCACCTAGCTTCATTGGCAGCAGTACACCTCTGGTACGCAAAACATTTTGGCAAACTTTCTAAGGTGGCAATGGATTTTTTTTTCCTGGTAGAAACGGAGGTGGATTTATTCGCTTCCCAAAAAAATGCAAAGGGCTTTTTTTTTTTTCTCCTCCCTGAATCTTGCAGACGCCACAAAAATCCCTGGACGCCCTTACAAATCCAGGGAATTTTCATCTGTTTTGCCTTCCCTCCATTTCCTCTTCTTCCCAGAGTGTTTCAAGAAGTTAATTCAAAGACATGGAGACAGATCCAATTCTCATCGCCCCGTTCTGTCCCAAAAGAGCCTGGTCCCAAAAGAGCCTACTCTTCTATTCAGCCATAAGGCTGAAGTTACCAGGGGTGTTTATGCTAGGTGTGGAAGACATTTAATTTGTGGTTTAGGAAAAATGGCAGAATTCAGGATTTGTCAGCAGCATGGAAAAATGAAGTCTCCTCCCCTGCCAGACAGTCTCAAGAATGGAGAGCCAGAAATGCATGTCTTTTGGTAGGTAAAACGGCTCCCTTGTCTGGAGTTGAGCTTTAACGACCAGTGACGTACAGTGGGAGTCACTGGCATTGGGGCTGTTTAAACAGACTCCCCGCAACTTTCGCCGCGCCGGGACTCTGTTTAAACTTGTAAAGTCGGCTTTATAGTAGAAGCGATTTCTGGCGGCTCAGCTGCCGCCACATCGCTTCTACGGGCCGCTGAACAGGTCCCCTTAGCCCGACACCTCTGCCGGTTTTCCCGGCCTTCGTTGCCCATCCTACGGGCCCGGGACTGGCTTCTTTGGTGTCGGGGAGGAGATGGCCGAAACTCCACCGATCCCCTCCCTGTACTATGGGACCGGGAGCGATGCGTATTGCATCACTTCCGGTCACATAGCTGTCAGTGCTGGGCTCCTGAAGCCCAGCTATAAGCTATTGAAGTGCGATCTGCACGTCAATAGCTTATTTCTAGTGTAAAGGTAATACTAGGGGTCTTTTGGTCCCCCCAGCATCACCTTAGACTAACGGTCACCCCTAATCTGCTATCACATGGGGGGCTTGTAACCTTATCTTTTACCTTTTTTATTTTAGAAAATTGGTATTTTATTGTGTTTTGGGGCATTTAAGTGCATTTTTCACTAAATTTTGGGGTTTGATAAGGAAATGCGCTAATATCATGCAACATAAAACTTGCAACTGCCACCATTTTATTCTACAGGGTCTTGGCTTTCAGAAAATATATAATGTTCAGGGGTTTTAAGTAATTTTCAGGCCTAAAATGTGAATATATAAAATGGGTGCAAAAAATGAAAAAAGGCCTCAGTCATGATGGGGTTAAGCAATCAAAAATATGCCTTTTACTCAGACCCTCTCCCCTTTATTTCTGTGCCCGTATGTGCTCCAAAAATGTTTTACATATGCTTCCGTTAACTTTTAGGTGGCAAATCTGAGTGCCAAAGACTGCACTTACACATTAAAAGACTGTATGTACAAAGAGGTCCACAAGGACTGGCCTGGTTATTCGGAAGGCGACCAACAGCTATTAAAACGAATACTTGTCCGGTATGTTTCCACTTTGTTCTATGTTGCCTGAATTTGTCAAATGCCAGCCATGTTTTCTGTAAGATCTTCTTTTTTTTTTTTTAAACTTTGCTTTAAAATCCTTTAACATTGTTACCTAGCTCAGGAGTTCTGATTAGTTGGACAGAATTAAACACTGCTGCCAGATTTCTTATGCAAGGTCTACTAGACACTTTTCTGGCCATTTTTGTTCATTCATGCACCATGTCCTTTCCTTGTTTTTTTCCTATAAAACAGATATCTAAGTCTTCAGGATGTGACCTTGCTTCAGGCAGTAAGGCCTTCATGTGGGTCTGGTGGTCTAATATGCCACTGGGTATGATCATGGAAAATATTTCTTTAAACTAGAAACCCAGCTGGGAATACACCACTGATACAGCTGTCAAATGACTATAAACGGAGTGATCATCAGTGTGATCACTGCTATATCCATGGAGTCCCTACTACAGTGTTTGAACTGGGTGTCTTTACAACTATGGATCCCTGTCAGTTAACCCCTTTTTTGCTTTAGGTTCACCCCCTTTTTTTCTAAATCATAAATCACTATACTAATTTAATATAACTTTTGAAAATCTGTGCTCTTCCCCCTATCTGTGCTATACCCCAATCTTACCACACTTTTCTGTTCTTGAGAATAATTGTATTAATATGTAACAGTAGCTGATGGGAAGCTTTTTTCTAAGATCTAGATGTATGAAAATTGGTGGGGAAACACTGAGGGGGATCTGCAGAAGGGTCCACATACTCTATGCAGTGATGTACTACACAGTTAGATCTACAGTGGGCTATTACATTACTGGTGGCCTTGCATAAAGGAGAGAATAGTGGTAGCTGGTTGTGTAAAACAAAGTGCAGAGCAAGTGCCATTTTTTTAAAAAACATTGTCATGATTGCTAGACAATGTAAAGGAATGGAGAAAGTTTCAGCTAAGCCAACAAATGGCGTTTGCAAACATACTTTTATGGTTTTGCCCAGATATAACTTTAGGCCTAGCTCCAGCCAAAATTTTTTTGGGATAGAACAGAAAATGGTTAGAGCCTCTCTCAGGTTTTTATTAATGCCTGTGTCCCTAATGGAGAAGCTTCAAAGTTTCCCCCATTTTTGTGTCCTGACATAGCATGTGCATTCTGGTGCACTGCAGTGTGTGAGTTGCAGCTACTGTTTTGTGTGAGTATGCCGTTCAAAATGAAGGGCACCTGCGATCTTTTATCCCACGTGCATTAGTATAAATGGGCCCTTAAGGTTTGATTCGTTGATTTATATTAAAGAAAATGTTTAGAAATGGGGGCATAAACAATGATTACTTCTCTACAACATAGTTTTGTGACAGAAAAGGTAAAGCTTGAAAGATGACAAATTTGAGGTTGAACGTTGCGTTAGGCTTGCGTCACACCTTTTAACTTGCGATACTGCACTTAAAATCCCGTCTAAATGTGCGTTACTGCAACAAACGGTAACACGTTGTATACGTGCCACTTAGTTCATTAAAAATGGCACCCCCAACAAAACCGTAGAACTTGACACACCACAACACCGATAATTTTGTTTATTGATATCAGTGGTGGTGCATGGCACCCTCAGGGCCTGGAAATCTACATCTGTACACCTTTCTCACTCTGCTCCCAAACCTTTTTTTTTTCTTTAGGAAGCTAAGCCAGCCACCAAATCCATGTGGACAGACAGGAGAAAATGCTCCTCTGAGCCCTCCCAAAGACAATGTGAATTCCACTTCCCCAAACCCCCAGGTATGTTATTATAAATTGCGAATGACTAGTCTGCAGTAGTCCATACATAAATAAGCCCTAAGACCGTTGTAAACGTATACCTCCTGCAAACAAAATAAGGTAGAGACTGTTTACCTTTTAAATATACTGCAGATACCATTGTCCAGTATGAACACAGAACTGTGCCTAAAACTGCTTTAATATAGTCCATTAATATAACAAAAGCCAGGAATCCTTAATAGGAGAGCCACCCAGGGGGAGGGGTGTTTATCAGAAATGCTTATTCTGTGATAACAGGCAAACACTGTGGTCCAGAACCCAGTGATAACAGGACTGCTCCCCCCATATGTGGAGAAATTACATTACCTCCCCTTGGCACCTCCCACAATGATCTGATTCGGAAGGAAACATCCTATAAAGGTCATGTGGAGTAAGATACCTAAGGGACACAATCTTGTAAACTTTTTCCTGCATATGAGGGCATAGACAGCTTACCAGTCAGGACATAACATTTTCTCCAATCATCTTCTGAGCAAGACCCACCAATGAGATCTTCCCATTTCAATCCAAAAGCAGAGAAGGACAAACGTTTCAAGTGGTGTAAGCGTTAAAGGGGTAAAAAGAAGGTGTTGTATAGTTCGCAAAAAGCCTCACAATTGTAAGGAAGAGAACCAGTCCCCCGCTCCACTGGGGCCTGCCTTGAGGTCTCGGCGTGTCGGGAGGATGGCCATAAAAGGCAACAACATGGCGCATTTGAGGCCAGGCGTCTCTAGAAAATGGACAAATGAAGGATGCATGAATCCCTGGGCCAAAGCTTGGGTAATCAAAAAGTGGAGTAAGGGGACCCAAGCAAGAGGCAAGATTCAGAGATAGAAAAGGTAGAGATGCTGCAGGATGGACAAAGATAGAGTTCCAGTTGTGTCGCAAGCTAGTCAGAGCGACGATGGAACCAATCTGACAATCGAGTAAGCAATTCAAAGTCTGGAAGACCCCCCCACCCCCCTCCCATTTTAGTTTTGAAAAGGACTGAAATGAGCTTGAGGCTTCTTGGAGCCCCAGACATAACGCAGTGAGTGATTTCAGTTTGAGGAAGTCCTGTGTTCTTTGTAGAGGGTCTTGGGAGGCATATCTGAGTACCTTGTTTTAATGTTGTACAAAGTAGTATAGAAGTGGTAAAAGGCATAATAAATTTGTTTGAGGCTGTGCGCTACAACCTGGTTGTGGGTAAGCATAGAAGAAATGTTACTAACGGGTATGCGGATGCAGTCAACGAGCAAGTAATCGACCGCTCTTATCGTTGAGTTCATACTGTTGTCCGCACAGCTTATCCTTCGCAGCTAGGAATCTACAATCAATTAGGCATTTTAAGTTTCGACCTAGCATTGGATAATTCAAGCAGAGCATCTTGAGAGAGAGTCTTATGGGTTGACTTTAAGGACCGATATTGTGAAAGCGATGGAATCTACAGTGAGAATTATTTTTTCAGTCAGGAACCATGAGAAATTGAATACCCCTCTCAAAATGCGATTTAATGCCTCCTATTGAGTCAGAAGAGGTGTGTCATTGCGGGCATGAGCCAACACAAAATTAGAAATAGTGGACCTAATCTCGTCCGCATGTCTGCGATCCGTCAGCAAGTCACCAGGTAGACCTAGGTGTTGAGGTGGCCACATCTAAAGCAACAAAAACTGGGACATGATCAGACCACACAATAGGTGTGATATCTGCAGAAGGTGAAAGGTTAAGCAGGTCTTGGGAGATGGAAATATAATCTATCCTACTGTACATATTGTGGGATAAAGTAGAAGCTGTTGTCTTTGTCATGAGGGTGAAGCGCTCTCCAAAGGTCACAACGCCTGGTTCACACCTAGGCAATTGCGGTTGTTGGGCTGTTTTCGTGCCTTTATCGTGTGTGTGTGTGTGTGTGTGTGTGTATATAGCCATACATGCATACATACATACATACATACATACACATACATACACATACATACACATACATACACATACATACACATACATACATACACATACATACACATACATACACATACATACACATACATACACATACATACACATACATACACATACATACACATACATACACATACATACACATACATACATACATACATACACATACACATACACATACATACATACACATACACATACACATACACATACATACATACATACATACACTGAGTGGCCAGATTATTATAACCACCCCATCAGTACTTCTTTGGGCCACCTTTTGCCTTCAATGCTGCAGCGATTTTTCTTGGCATTGACTCCACGAGATGTTTAAAGGTGATGCGAGGAATCTGACACCATGCCTGATGAATGGCACTGTCCAGTTCTGTGAGATTTGATGGTTGTGGAACCAGCTGCCTGATGGCTCTTTCAACTTCGTCCCACAAATGCTCAAGGAGGATAATAACGATTTTGGAAAGGCGGAAGCGAATCTCTGTGAAAATGTCTCCTGAATAAGGAGGATATGTACTTCTTCTTCTTTTTTTTTTTTTTTTTTTAAGAGATCATATCAAATTTTTGAAAATATTTAGGGTTGTTCAGAACATGTACATTCAAACTGTTTTTTGAGAGGGGCTACTGCGGGTTAGAGGGTGAAGAAAAGGCAGAAAGTTAGAAAAGGCTTGTCCACAGCAACAGATCTTTGCATTACAAAACCCCCAATGGAAAATCACAGACTTGTCAATCTAGATGTGAACAAAGGAGGGCAGAAATGCAGCGGATGGGGATTCTACAGAAAGAAAGGCACCAGCAAAGTCAAATGGAATTCACCAGAAATGGTGGAAGGAGGAATCGGAGCATTCTGTAAGGCTATAAGGTGTAGCATGAGAGATCAGGAAGAAGCTGGATAGGGGAACCATTGAAAAGAATCTCATCCTGGCTTTAAGTAGCTATCATGTCCTCTTTGACACAGAAATAGTGTACCCTGCATAAAACATCTCTTGGTTTTGAAGGATCCAGATTCTTAAGGCGAAGGGTACAGTGAGCCCTGTCCAATTCAATAGCATCATCTTTAGGATGTTGAAGCAGATTATTGACTATGGAGTGTAAGGCAGAACAGAGGAAAGGCCCCATATACGAATGTTATGCCTGCTGCGATTTTCCAGATAGTCAACATGTGCCAAGAGATCATGCAGCTGGTTGGTATAAGCCGTCCTGAATTGAGTCCAGAGTATTTTCAAGATCATGTACTCTAGTACCAACACGGGTGACATCTGCCCGAACTGACAGCAATTCCTGCTTGTATGTTCTCTCCAGATGGGTTACATAGGGTTCCAAGTCCTGCCTTGTAGATCTGATATAGGATTTAAGATCCCAGTCTCCTTCCAAGTCAGATGGTGCAGCATGTTGCAGAGGGGTATGAGAACACCTTGCAGGGCTTTGAGGAGCAGGTGAAACTGGCGAGGAAGAGCTGCTAGTGTGACTGTCCATCCCCACCCTGCTCCCCATCGTACCTGGTGGTGATCCCTCCTGCATATCAGGCTGGGACACAGATGGAAGCACAGGCCTTGTGAGCACTTGTTGAGCTGAGAGAGAGGAGGTCGGAGCCAGCTGATAAAGTTAGCATTTGCTGTATTTCCACACAGTTGGACTGCTTTTTGACATCCCAGGAGTTGAAGACTTCTTGTATCCCTCAATGGACCAGAAAAAAATATTTTTTGTGTGTGTGTAAAAGTTTTGACTATACACATACTCTAAGCACAATGTAAGGTGTTCTGAGGCCCTGTTGACGTGTGTGTACATGTGGCAAAGTGTACGCAGCACCCCAGATGTGAATGCACACAACCAGAGGCATAACTAGAACCTTCAGGGCCCCGGTGCAAGAAACCATGGAGGGCCCCCCACCGACATGGCACCGCATGGTTAACAGGAAGGCTGCCGAGGTCCCGAGCAAGCGCGGGACCTCGGGCAGCTGCTTGTTTAAAATGTTAGTGCAGTGTTCCATCTCGAACACTGCCCCAGTATCCGCGCTTACGTACAGACGGGATTACCAAGGAAACCGGCATTTATTTGCAAAGTATTCGTTTGTAATTGTTTAATTGGGACCGGTAATAATATACGGTCCATGGCAGTAAATGATGGGCAGCATATTATTGACGGTCACAATTAACGATTTAAACGAAATACTTTGTAAATAAATCGCGGTTTCTTCGATAATACTGGTCTGTGCGCAAGCGCAGATGCTGAGGTCGGCAAATTCGACTACATCAGCGTTCTCGACAGAACACCGATATCTGCGTTTAGTATCGGGGCATTTTCATGACTATAAGTACTTGTGAAAATGCCAGTATTGGCAGTGGTGTATCCCTACTTAAAAATATATAATGCATTGGTGGGACTTGTAGTTCTACATAGTTGGAGCTATTCTGCATTGCTGTATAATCACCAGCAATGCCGAATACCACCATACCAACAGCAATGCATTATATTAAAAGTAAGCACTATCTCACCCCCACCCCCACCCCACACACACACTGATGTGTGAACATTTAAGCCTAGTGAGAGCAGGGCAGCAAATATCTGTGGAGCTAGCTTGCTGTTGCTGGGAGATGAAGAACGATCTCCCTTTGACCCCTGTGTGTGTGACCCGTCCCTCGCCTCCTTACCTTCTTCTCCGTATCATGGCTCTCAGCAGCAGGGGAGGTGGGGGGACATCTGAGGGTTGTCGGCAGAATTGCCTAATGCTCCGTTCCTCGCTGCTCAACTCAGCAAAGAAAAAAAACAACAACAACAAAACTTAACCCCGGCTGCTTGCCCACAGCTGAGCTGAACCAAGAGAAGAAACCACTCGCCTGGCGCCTGGAACTGCATGTCCCGGGCGTCAGGCAATACAAAGTAAATGCAAAATGTTATCCGAAGCTGGGATAGAGAAATAGATTATATTAGGGAACATTACAGTGTAATATCCCCTAATATAATTCATTTCTCTAATTTAAAGACATTTCAGCACAGTGTGCAGGGTCTGGGCTTCTCATTCTTAACCACCCCCCCAGCGTCCGTCGGTCTCTCTCACTCCCCCCCTCCCTCCCCCTTCTCTGAGAGGAGGAGGGGGGGAAAGAGTGAGAAACACACACAGACCGATGCTCAGAGGAGGAAGGGAAGCATGAGAGAGACCGACCAATGCAGAGAAGCTCTCAGCGTCGGTCGATCTTTCTCCCTCACTTTCTTCCCCCCCCAGTCTCTAGCACATCCCCGGGGCCTCTGTCTGCAGGGAAACACTTACATTTCCTCCAGACAGCCGTCCTGCAGCTCCTCTTCAGCCACATTCTCCGACGCTTCTGCCCGGGGAAAGCAAGCTCCGCCCCCTGCACGCACATCTGAGGAAGGTTCCAATAGCGGGCAGGGGGGCCCGGGACATGCCAAATTGCATTTGTCTTATAATTTCATAATAAAAAGTTATAGCTTGGAGCCCGGCCGCTTGGGCCCCTTACAACTTCAGTGGCTGTACCCCCCTGATGGCGGCCTTGCAGGATAGGAGCGGTACGATCTCGGGAGCCCCCTTCTTCGCTGGGCCCCCCCCAAGTGGCGGAATGCCAGGGCCCGGTCGCAATTGCGACCTCTGCGACACTGGTAGTTCCGCCAGTGCACACAACGCATTGTAAAAAAAAATGCAGCTCAAACTGCTGCATGAGCTTCTTTATCATGTGTAGGGCAGCCCATTGTAATTAATAGCAAAATGTGTATAAACCTATTCTGTATATGCAACATTTAATAGTATTGTGGTTTGAGTAGTTCCTATACAATATAAAATGTGTGTGTGTGTGGATTTGCACAGAAAATGGAGGTGAATTATACAAGCCTAATCTTGGCTATGTCTAAGGTGCTAAGCCTAAAGTATTTATAAAGTAGTAGTGTTGCTAAATGCAATAACAACTTCAAATGATTACAGGGTATGAATCATCCTAAAATTGCAGGTCAAAGATTACTTGATTTCCACTATGAATCGGCTTCCTTTAGAGTAGGCTTAACATTCTTTTGAAGATTAACCACTTGCAAAACAATATGCATTTCCTGTCTGGCTGTAGTAGAGGAAACCCCATTTAGAAGTGTTATATTTGGTTCTTTGTTCTGTCCTGCAATCAATAAGAATTGAAAAATAAAAAAGCCATATTCCCTGGGAGTGTGATCAGTGTTTTTTTAAAGTCAGAAGCACTTTATTATCAGATTTTACAGCTTGATTAAAAAAAATGTTTAAGACCTGACCAATCCTTCCTTTTTGTAGTGAGTAGAGATGGAAGGTATTAACTAAACATGCTCCACTTAAGTCCATCATGCAGACAGATGTCTCCTAATCCATCCCCAATTACTTCCAGTGATCTTAGTGCAGTGTAAGCATACGTCAAATTATGGTTGGCTTAGAAAATCGTTTTGCATATTAGCAACCATCCTATGAGTCTAAAATAAGTGGGGGGTTTTTTGTGTGTGTTTTTTGTCTTTAGATCTAAACAGGTTTACTGTTTGCAACTTCTAGAAATATTGTTTGGGCATATTAACTTGCATCTTTCTTGATATATTACTTAATGGTACTTTACAAATTCTGCCTGTTGCCTAATAAAGAGAGGGGGGCGGGGGGGGGTTTGCATGGATGCTACGAAAGAGGCAATATATCATGAGATGTCACGAAAAAAAGACCCTGCAATTTTATAAAGATACTTACTCTTTAAAACATTGATTTCCTAATTTTTTGCAGTGTTAAAGTATCTCTGCATGTGTCATTTTGTAGACTAAATATACTTTATCTTTTTAGTTATTGTTCTTAATTTTCACAGAAACGACCCTCTCAAAATCCAGAGCCTATTGATCCTTCAGTTCCCAAGAAAGTCCGTATATCCCACTTTGCACACCGGTCGCAGCATACGTTGAATGGGAAATTAAATTCCTCCAATGGAAGGGATTCACCAGCTCCCCCTATGCAGCCTCTTGTGTTGGATACTGTCAACTCCAGTTCTCATATACAACTAGCTGATGACCCCATTTTGGACTCCAGCACTGACACACAACCGAAAGACTGTGAAAGCCTAGATGCCTCTGAGAGGCTTGGCCATGAACCACAGACGGACTGTTCCACTGTGGCCAAAAAAAACTCTAATCCCACTCATGGAAAGTCTAAAAAGAAGTCCAAAAAGCACAAAGAGCGAGACAGAACCAAGGAAAAGAACCCACAAGGAAAAATAAATTGTAGCTCGGGGAAAATCAGTGGGGCTCTTCAGGACATCCTGGGTAAGTACTGCTAGCTGTATTGGGCTTATACCCATTGTACTGGGAGTGTGTTCTTGAACATAATGTATATGGTAAAAACAAATGTGGCTAACGTGATATCATTTTGTAGATTTCTGACAAGTATCTGGACAGTCCCCATTTAAGGGTTCTGCCCCCAAGAAACGGGCTTAACTGGAACCATTTCCAGCAGCCCGGTAGCTGTAACATTTCCAGGGTATGGTCCATGACCTGGATGGCATTGCTCTGTGGGTCTAAGTTTGCCAAGACAATAGAGACCGCAGACTGCTTCTGTCATCATTCAATCCGCCTGCTGCTAGCGAATGGTTGCTAGGACCACCAAGCAACCAACCACCACCAGGTGGGCTTGAATGATAGCAAGTTGAATGGCGCTGCATGTGGTTTTCTAGGCCTGGCTAGAATTCAACCAATGGCATGCTTTGCCAAGCCAGCATTGAGAGAGGACAACAAAACTTACAGCCCTCTGCCACCCAGCTTCTGCTTGCCTGCTTGAGCATTCTGTGGGCTCTTAACCAAGGAGGAACTCTGGATACTGGGGTCTATATTTTTAATTTACATCAGAGTTCCCTTTTACATCAGATTTTCCAGAGGAGGGCACTCTGACCTTGGGTTCAGACACCAGATTCCCCCCTTACATCAGTGTCCACAGAGTTCCCTTCTTGCCTAAGAGCCCACAGAATCCTCAAGCAGGTAGGCAGAAGATGTAAGGGGCAATTTTGGATACTGTAATGTAAGAGGGGATGGAATTGTACTTGGAGGAGGGGATATTTTTGGTTCTACATGCATGCTACCAATTCCTTACCCCTACCCTACATGTTGTGCTATGCACTCTTGATCCCTGCCATCTGTGCATTATGCACTCCTGCAGCATTGTATGCTCAGATTTTATTTAACCATACCATTTCAGTGCATTGTGCTGGTAGAATACAGCACTGTGTATGTAGCAGTTTGTTCTCGCTGGGTACTTACAACTAGTACCAGATTGCTAGCATAGAAAAGGGACTGGCTGTCCTCTTCCAGGGGTCAGTTGTAGGTGCATTGATGCTGTCTGACTAGACTTTCACCCTTTCCTCTCCCAAGAAATGATCTAAACATGCAAGTACCAGTTTAGGCATGGTTGTGGTTGGACTTTGATATTTTTTGTTCTTGTTCTAGATTTGAACAGAGCTTGCAGTAATTCCAGTATTCCATCATCCACATCAGAGCTGCCAGATTACATCTTGTAAGTTATTTTATTCTCCATTTGCATCAAATATTTTATTTAGACTTATTTCTGAACTAGTGAATTTTTGTAACTCAACTACTTTTTTATAATGTCTTAGGAAATACACAGCAATCTCATCTCAGGAGCAGCGTCAGACTTACAAGACTGACTTCAACTCAGAATACAATGAATACAGAGATTTACATGCAAGGATAGAAAGGACAACAAGCAGATTTACGCAGCTGGACTCTCAGCTAAAGCAGCTCTGCACTGGTTCAGAGGAATACAAGGTATATAGCAGGCATCGTCGTTACATAGCTTCTTTTAATTGGACATTCTGACAGTTTTGAAGCTCCAGGATTCACGTTAGAATTTTTCACAATGGCTCTAGTGTACAAACACCTGTTTCTTTCTCGTCCATTGGGTTGCTGGAAGTCTTTAACCTTGTTATACTGCTGCCAACAACAGGAATGGAAACTGTCAAACCAAAAAAAAAAGTGTAGTTCAATCCCGAATAACACCTTCTACCGTGTTTCCCCGAAAGTAAGAGCTACCCCGAAAGTAAGACCTAGCGCTATCTTCAGGGATTTCTGTAAAATAAGACCTAGTTCGATGGTAGGTCTTATATTACAGAGATCCGCTAGGTCTTACTTTCAGGGTAGCTGCACATATCGTAGAATGTCACGGCCGCAGCTCCCGCCCTTCTGGCTCCATGGGCGCATTAGAGCAGAGAGCGGCCGCAGCTCCCTCCTACCCCCCCGCCAGGCACGCCTCCCTGCACGCCCACTTGTCTGGCTCCCTGGACGGCATTATAGCTGAGAGCGGCCGCAGCTCCCTCCCTCACGCCCCTCCGCCAGGCACGACCACCTGTCTGGCTCCTTGGACGGCATTAGGGCTGAGAGTGGCCGCAGCTCCCGCACGCACGAGCAGACAGCTGCAGCCAGGTACATAAGACATCCCCCGAAAATAAGACCTAGTGTCTTTTTTCGTGGAAAAAAAAACATAAGACACTGTCTTATTTTCGGTATTTAGCATGCCTCAGATTTTTGCTGGTGTCCTAATAGGATACACATTTTCTTCAGCAATTCTGTGTTAAAGACTAACCTATTTTTTGCTAGCACTTTTTTCCCTTTTAAGTCTATATCCTTGCTTGAGTGCTGTCTCTTTGATTGCAGCTATTCTGGGCAGTCATGAAAGTCTGTTTTTGAAGTACGTGTCTGGACTCCACTGGACCAGACATTGCAGGGATAGACTGGAAGTGACTTTCAGGCGCTGGGTTCCACATCTGACATTTTCAAGACTCCCAAGTTATCTGTGGTACTTGTTCCACTGACCTTGCTTCAGGGTTTGCCCGGTCTCTGAAGTCTCCCTTAATGAGTAGGCTAGTCAGGCCAAAACTGTGGTCTCAGGTTTTTGGTTTCTTTTTGCTCTTTAGGCACACTCTACTAAGATCTAGTAGAGATCTTAAGCTGTAAGTCCTTGTTTCTCAGATATGCAAAACTTTCTACGAGTTGGATGTTTTGCCTTACCTGATGCCACCTTGGGCACAAGGTCCTTCAGGTGGCTCTTTGAGCGGCCAGCAGTCCCCAGTTTTCTTTTTCCAGGACATAGCGATTGTTTGCCCAACCCTCAGTAGGACTACTTTTAGACATCCCAAAAGCTAGACTTTGCCTCCCTCAGTAGACGAGAGTAAATAACACGGTACAGATTTCATAATTGTAAAATATCGCTCAGTTGCCTCATAAACCTCTTGAAAGTAAAAGTAGGCAATTCACATTATCACTTCCCTTAAATGAGCCCCTATCTTTATTTGTTTTCCTACATTCTTTACAGGAGGTTGCTGGAGGTTGTTGTGCCATTAATTTTTTTATTTATTGCAGGTATTTATAGAGCGCCGACAATTTTACACAGCGCTTTACATAGTTGCACATTCACATCAGTCCCTACCCTCAAGGAGCTCACAATCTAAGGTCCCTATCTCGCATGCATACAGGGCCAATTTAGACAGCAGCCAATTAACCTACTAGCATGTCTTTGGAGTGTGGGAGGAAACCGGAGTACCCGGAGGAAACCCATGCAAGCAAAGGGAGAACATGCAAACTCCTTTGCAGATAGTGACCTGGCCAGGATTCAAACCAGGGACCCCCAGTGCTGAAGCGCTAAGCACTATGCCACTGTGCTGCCCATAGTGGTTATTTAGTACATGGCATGATTTGTGACATGTAGCCAGCAGAAGTGTTTTTTATTTTTAGTCACTGCATGGTTTAAAACGTGTTTTCCACGGTTTCAGCCAAATTGACATAACACCTACCTTATATTTGTTATGTGTTATGTTCTCGTTCCCAAAGAATAACATTAAAAGAAATTGCTACTTACACATTTCTTCAGCAAAATTTAGAATTTACGGTACCATTAGAGGTCAGATTAGTATCTGCATCTCTTTTGCTTTTTTTTTTAATGTTTGTTAAATTTAATTTAAACCTATTTCTGTTTTTGTTTTTAGACTATCCATGATCAAATCTTACAAGAGTATCGTAAAATTAAAAAAGTAAGTATTTTGTTCATATAACTGGTCTGTTGGAACCTTGCACTGTACAATTGGTATTAAACTGTACAATATGTTGCGTACTGTAAACATTAATAAAAATCTAAACGAATGAACTACAGTGGTGGGAATTTATCAAAACTAGCAGAGAGAATCTGGAGCAGTAGCCCATGGCAACCAATCAGCATCTCTCCAGTTTGCTCAGGTAAGATTTGAAAATGAGACAGAGAAGCTGATTGTTTGCAGTGCAAATCTGCTCCAGATTTTGCCTGCTCCAGTTTTGATAAATTCCCCTCACTGACTTTGATGTCTAGATAATAAGTGATGCATTGCGCAAGTCCCGTTTGCACAAGGTTGTTGAGACATTCTAACCATTTACCAGTCTTTCATATCTTAACTATAAGGTGTAGCAGGTAACAGACAGGATAACTTTCTTAAATCGGTCCTCCTTCACTGTATGCTCAGCAGGCAGAGTGTAGCAATACATTTACAAAAGTCCTGTAGGCCTAGTGTATCTAAATCCTATAACAAAAGTGTAATATATTGCAGCTTTACCAATCCTTTAATGCAGTCCTTCTGTTTAGTTTTTAGTTTTATTTTTCCCTTTTTTTTTTTTTTCCATCTGGGGATCTTGGAGTCTAAAGCTGGCCATACACCTTACAATTATCGTTCAATTTCTATTCCCTAATCGAACAGTCATTACATTTCTGCTAGAATAGCCCATCATGCACATACCAATGTTGATTTCAATTATGGTTCGTTAGCAATACTAACTGGCCGAATTTTGTCGATCGACAGAACAGATTTTAGTTTGCCCATGTGCAGTGTTTTATGTTGTGGTTTTTCACCCCCCCGTCTTAAAAAGCGCAACTAATCCATCGATTTTTCGTACGATTCGAAAATAAGTTTTTCAGCCTAACTGATCAAGGAAATTCAGCTAGAAGTACACCTGAAAAGAAAACCTGATCTCGTCTGATTTCCGAATGATGATCGCAGGGTGGATGGGCACCTTTTAGAGTGGCTTATCAGCATTGTCAGCTTGTGGAGAGGAGTATTAGTCAAGTCAATCAATCTAATCTACTAGTGCATCTAACAAATTAAAGCCAAACACCAGCTAGCTCTTTGAAATCAGTTACAGCAAAAGTTTTCTTTTCCGTTTTGGGATCAAGTTTTTACACAAATGAATAAAAGCTGACCATTGTAAGCATAGGCGACCGTTTAAAGCCTGTACAGGTCATCAGTTTAGAGTTAACCGTTACATTTTTACCCTAGAATAATTGCTTTCACCCAACATGTAGCGCAATCATTGTTTGTTTTCCTATATAGGTGCACCCAACGCATGTGTGGGGGACTTTGAATTCTGTGTTTATTTTATTTAACATTTTATTATTTTTTAAACTTTATTTATTTTTTGCTATCAGATAGGGGGGCTTACAAGTCCCCTATATGCAAGCTTATTAGTGGTGACAGATTCTCTTTGCAGTTCTAAAAAGCTGTTCAAGTACAGATCGGGCTTGACAGCTGAAAAATGGAAGTGATGCAATTAGCATCCCTTCCCGGCTTCATTCAGTGAATGGATGTTCACTGGTCTCTCTATCCGCTGACACCCGTGATGCTGGTCTCGGGCCTGCAGGAGGGACAGTGGAGCCCAGGAAACAAGGCGGGGGGTGTTTGGGAGACACCAATTTACCGGCCCGTGGAAGCAATCCACCAGAATCGCTTCCAGTGTAAAGCAGACAGTTGGCTTAACACAAGTAAACAGGGGCCTGTAGCCAGTGCCATAAAGGATACGGCCCTGGCAGCGAAAGGGTTATAGGAAGTTTAAAATGACAAGCTGGCTGGATCACCAAGTGACCAAAAAGGATAAAGGCCTAAAGAGTGAAAACTAATGTAGCCATCACATTTAAGAATTGGTAAGCCGCAATAGATTACTTTGTTGCCTTTATGTTTAGATGGTACACTTTTACATTAAAACCTAAGAGAAATGCAAGAAATGCATTCACTGCCATTTGTGACTCCTCAAAATGCTAGTTAGCTGGCTATGGACACAATACTTTGTTAGTGAGCTGGAAGCATGGAGCCAATTAAGTCCATGGGAGTACAAACTGTGACTTATCCAAGCCATGCTGATTTGCATTTTTCTTGTTTAGGATGACATTATAAAGTCCATAAGTGTTCCCACTTTACTGTTCAGAAATATGCAATATGGTAATTCAAGGAAAAAACCCATTGAAAATGGTATTACTTGTTTGCTATAAAAGTTGAACCTTCCTCCAAGGCTTCCCATTGATCAGTTGGGCTAGTTCAGTGGGAAAGTTTGAGAGAGAGTCGGGTCTGCTAGTCGTACTAGTAGAAATGTTCATCCTTTTTTTCTTTCTCCCCTTACAGTCCAACCCGAATTACAGTGAAGAGAAGAACCGCTGTGAATATCTCCACAATAAACTGGCTCACATAAAAAAACTGATTGCACAGTATGACCAACAGATTCTGTCTCTGCATTAATGCCCATGTTCGGGTAGCAGTATCTTTGCACCT